CACCTCCCGAACCACCCCGCCCCCCATACACCCCATTCCCGTCACCCGCCCAGTCCTGTCACCCCGCCAACAAGCGCCCCCTCACGCCCGCTCCCATCCCCTTTCACAGCGCCCAGCCTGGCCCCATGGGGAAGGCAGAGGAGACCAAAGGTACCAGCAGAGCTGCACATCAATTAGAACCCCGAAACCACCATAAATATCACAGAGCCGCGGGAGCGAGCGGCCAACGTTGAACAAACATTAAGACACGTAATCGGAAAAAGATTTGTCCCGCGCAGACATTTGCAAAGCTGTTAACACGCCCGCCGCAGGCCCCAGGCACTCACACCAGGGTAGGGAAGGAGCTCAGGGACCTCACACAGAGCAGCCCAAATCTCAGTCTGGCCCTGGCAGCCTGAGGGCCATCGCATCCCCAATGACCCGTGGAGCAGCAGCATGGGAGGTGCATGGGCACCGCGGTCAGCACAACCTGCCTCCTGTTTCATTACATTTGCGTGGGGAAAAGCCAAACAAACCCTTGCATCAAGTGGCCAGGGTGGCCACCAGATTGCCTCACTCCTCCCACAAGGAGTCCCAACACTGTTTGGATCACAGGTTCAAGAAGGGATCACCCAGACACAGCACAGGTGCTACTGGGCACCCCCTCGGACCACCCAACACATTCAGTATTTTGGGACATCTGCTGATCAGTGAAGCAATTTTGCTATTCAGTGTTGCAGAAATAGGGCAAGGAGAAGTGCTGGGCAGTCCCCAGTCTCCAACATTTTCGCATGGGCAGCCTTGTAAAACACAGATTTCCAGCATCACTGTAAGATTACCCCCAAAGCAAATGCCAATTTCGAAGAGCCAAATATGTTTTTTTTAAAAAAGCCAGGCTTCCTGAACCCAGCAGCTGCCTACTTAGGGAATGTGGATGATCTCAGTAAAAACACATCAAAAAGCATCTTTGATGTTTTTCAGCTGCCGGACAGCCAGGTCAACTGGGAGGCTGAACTTCAAGTTGCTCAGGCGACTGAGGATGTTGAGCGCACTCTCAAAGCCCGTGTTCGCCATGTAGCTCCATGGCTGGTAGTGAGATTGCACCAGAGCTCCAGATTTGCAGATCAAGTTTACCCAGGAGACCAAACGCTGCTCGTTTAATGCCATGCACACGAGGGCCTTCAGTTCAGAGTCCGCACTGCGCTTGAAAGGATCGTGCTCGGTGAGGACCGTGTGAATCGCTGTCAACAGGCTCTGTTTGGGGGTAACGGCAACTCCTCCTGTCACAGGCAAGGCAAAGGACTGGGAGAGCTTTCGAGCCGGCGATTCCACGAAGGCCTGTCCATTCTTAGCGTTGTAGTACTTGACAAAGAGTTCCCAGGGGTGCATGGTCTGTGGTGATGAGGTGAACGCAGGAATTAAGCATGCGATGGGCGCCAGCACCAGGCTCATGCCTTGAGAGGAGGCGTAGAGCCCATGAGCCATGAGGTCTCGCAGAGCGATGGTCAGCTCCTTCCGCACAGCGAGAGTCAGCTCATCCCTCCCTCCTAAGGGAATGTCCTGCATGCTGGAGTAGCTGATAACGTGATCTTCCTGCTGCTGTTTCATTGCCAGTTGCCTCACGCGCTCCACGGACAGCTCGAGTTTCTTGATCAAGGGGGAATAGTCCTTGTCAGCCTGGTCCTTCTGCCAGAGTGTGCGAGGAATCTGACCAGTAGCGCAACCGAACTGACTCACAGCAAATATCTGCAGGACGGCAAGCATGCGACGCATGAGGTGCAGGCCAGTTTCTCGCATCTTTCTTGCATCTTCTGGATTCACTAATTAAGTTAGAAAAGAAAAAAAAAAAAACTCTGATTTAAGTGATTAAGGAATAATCTTATCTCTGCCCTTTCACACACAAAGGAATACAAGTGTCTGCTCCTTCTCCACCAGATCCTGCATCTGCTTAGGAGTTTCTGGCAGTAGAACTGATGCCACCTCTTCCAGTTTCACAGCACTGAGGCCAACCAGAAAAGGAAGTACAAAACACAGCCCATTCTCAACCATCAGGTCTGTCTCAAATCCCGCAGCAGAGGAGAAATCCCACGGCAGCTTTTCCAGTGGGCACATGCAGTCAAATCAAGGCCTATGCTGAAGGAGACCACTGGCTACTTTAAAGAACTTAACAGTGTAGGCCAAAGGCATGTGCAATACAAAACTGCTCCATCTGTCTGCACTTTGTGCTGATATTCCAAAGTCCTTCTACTCCTGAACTCAGCTAAGGACCAGTCCCATCCCTCTGAGCCACATATATTCAGGGATGGGGAGCACTAATGATCCTGTGCAAGTAGGGGAAAGGAATTGGACACAGACCTTCTGCCAGAGGGATCAGGAAAGAGCAGAAACCAAGAGCCAGGAAGACAGCAAAGCAAAGCAAAGGTGACCGAGCTCAGAGACCAGCAGGGCCCACCTCTATTTCCAGAAGATCGTGAATTCGCTTTGTAAGAGCCACTGCCATCTTTTCTGCCTGAACAGTCACAGTGCCCATCTTCTGCCTTACCGGGGCTCCCAACTTCATCTGGAACAAGAAATCCATATTATTATTTCACATTGCTGTAAATCTAGGCTGCACATCCTCAATGTTAATGTCAATATTCCCTTAAACTTCTCTACATCTTGTGGGTCAGTCTCAAGTTCTCCTCACTATCGTCTTAGAGACTGGAACGTCCAGAAGACCTTCCTATGTCTTCTGACATCTGTGGCCTCCCACCTCATAAATATATGAGGGAATTACAAAGCAATTTGATCTGCTTGCCCAAATATAATTCAGACTGACCCTGAATGAAGTTGATGAACATTTCAAGATCCCTTATTTGCGTCTTGAGTTGTTCCACCAGCTGCTCCTTCACTCTGGCTGGATTAACAATTTGTGCTATGGCAGTGTCCACACGCTGTCGCAGCTCCTCTGGAGAGAGCATTGCAATATCTTCATTCAAGTCCATGTCCAGCTTCTTTATTAACTCATCTATAATCATCTGCAAAACACAGCAGTGAGAAGCACAAGGCCACTGTGCAGCCCATAAGCTCCAGACCACCCCAGAGTCTGTAAGAGGCTCCTGAATGCGGAGAAAGGAGTAGGGGACGAGGGGGCCTTACCCGCTGCCTTTCCATGACCACAGACTGTGGCAGAGAATCATAGTTGCCTTCCTGGTAAGCAAACGTCTCCAGGTCATCCAGCTGCGTCTTGAGCTGCAAGATCAGCTCTCTTTGCTTTTCCTTCTGGACCTCAATTTGCTCCTGCTTCTCTTCCTCGCTCTGAAACAAAGTTTTTGGCAAACAAGGGCAAACATTGACCACTGCAGCCAAACCTAGCGCCCAGCATCACTGCATAGGGAGGTTTTGCTCCAGCCCATGCCCTTCCCCAGCACGCACTGCTGTGTGCTGTTCCCGGCAGAGGGTTTGCTCGCACACTGAGGCGCAGGAGCCACCAGTCATCTCATCCCCAGGGATGAGCCCTGGTGCCTCCTGTGCCCCGTGCAGCCCCTCATGCTGCTGAACGCGCCGGTGCGAGTGCCAAGACGGAGGAAACACAGACGTGCCCCAGAGCGAGGTGTAAAGACACGGCCACGGAGGCTGCCGCGGGAAGGGC